TTACTTCCTCCGCAGCCCTCCCTACCAACAGTCAGTTCAGGGCTGTGGTGTTGGGTAGGCAATCACTCCAGCTGTTTTTCCTGAGAAAAGCTCTGCTGATTTTAGAAAATGGCGCTCAGTTTCTGTGTTCTGGGAAGCACTAGGGTCCAAGCAGAGCATCTGTGGCACCAGTGGCTTCACCAGAAGGGCCCTGGCTACATGCTTTCGAGTCTGTACTCAGTCAGCCTCTCACACTCCCACTTACATACAGAAATCCATGCAGAATTGTCCATATAATCACTCACACACAGGGACTCATGCAGTCTGACTGGTTATGCCACCATCTTCCTGGAAATCCCCAGTGCAAGTATTTTTACTTCAATTCTAGAAATATGTCTCTTTAGTAAACATAGTTTGTGTCCTCTTACTGTGCTTGTGAGTCCTGCAGGACGCTGTGCCCTTCCATGAGGCGTGCGCTCTCTGGTGGCTGTATTGGGTAATTCCTTCATTACAAAGTTTTTCTTCCTTCCACCCCCTCTCCCCCAAGTCAATCTTCCACTGACCTTAAGATTCTGCTTGAGCAGAAACAGAGTCAGCAGTGTCAATGTGTTACACAAAATTTTACTTTGCTGTCGTTACAGTTTTCCTATCATTTCCTAGGAAGGAGGAAGGAGGAAAGTTGATAGTATGTGCCTCAGATAAGTGGTATTCACCTGGAGGACTAAACCTGTTGGGGACCTGCCAAGGTGCTCACAAGAACTTTCCTTTTGGCCAGAAAAAACCCAAGTGTTTGGGGATTCCTCAGACTTGTCCTGACTAGTCACTAAGAGGGGAGAAATGTATTGCCCTCCTCCCTAGTGGTCAGAACTGAGAGAGAGGTAGCCCCAAGACCACTTTGTGTGACTTTTTCACTCACAGGGGCTCTGGGGCTCAGATAAGGGATTGAACTGTCTTTTTCTGCCCCCCCGGCCCACGCTTCCCCCACACCCATCTCCCATCCAGGATCAGAACCTACATCTCCAGCTGCCGTGGCTTGCCCTGTTACAGCAGTTAGATAGTCCATCAGCTGGAGCAGAATAGGCAAGAATATAATGATATGTCCCCAAGGACCATCATTCCAGGGCTGATCTGGGACTTGGTTGATGGCATAGGATGTGGTTGAATTTGGAGCAGAGCAAGGAGAAGGACAGGAGACACCTGCACAGATAGAAATGGAAAGTCCTGATTTTCCAGAGCACAGGGCCCTGAGTGCTACAGGTGCTTAATAAATGGCATGAGACAAAGTGGAGACCAGGGTATGTGGGGTGTAAGCCTTGTTCCAATGACTTTCTGGATTCATGGCTATCTTTTAAGACACTAAGAAGCATCTACATTTATAACTACCTTTCTCAAGCAAAAAGCAAAGATGAAAGCAACCAACCTACCAAAAGGTACCCCCAAAGCAGCTTTAGTTTCAGAGGAATAGAATCCAGTCCCGGTAGCAAATCCTCTACCAGGTAGCAATAAAAGTAAGAACGTGACACATTGAAGATCGTAGTTTCAAATGGTCAGATCCCACTTTCATTTTCCTCCAAGAGAAACAAGATCCGACTGTTCACGTAGTTCAGTGAGTTTTCAGTCCTTTACAGGATCAGCCTCTTTAACCCCAGCCAAGAGGCTGGCCCTAGTAGGCTATCTAACTTGTGGATGGCTCAGACACCAATATTTATGGGTTGATTCATGTAAAAGGAGTTAACTGTTACATCTGTGAATTTTTTCAATGTTACTTCATTTATTTGTTTGTTTATTTTGAACCAAGATCTCACTCAAGTTCAGTGGCGCAATCATGGGCTCAGGTGATTCTCAGTCTCCTGAGTAGCTGGAACTACAGGTTCACACCACCATGCCCGGGCTAATTTTTTTATTTATTGTAGAAACGAGGATTCTCCATATTGCCCAAGCTGTTCTCGATCTCCTGGGCTCAGGTAATTCTCTTGCTTCCGCCTCCCAAAGTGCTGGGATTATAGGCATGAGCCACTGCACCCAGCCTTATATTTTTCAAATTAGAGAAGTTGAATTCAAGCTTGAGTTATAGATTAAATAAAATGTCTTTAAAAGGAAGCACACATCAAGCCAGAGAGTTAAGAGACTAGGTAAATGTTGATTTTTTATATTTAAACATTTACAAAAAACCTAAGTTCATGCATTTAATATAAATTATCCCCAAATACTCATTAACACTTCTAATTTGCGCAGGTCATTTTGTTGCATCTTGCAGCTGGGTGAGTAGGTGGGTCTGAGCACTATTGGAAGGAGAGTCTCCCTGATCTGCCTCATTCTGAGTTGTTGGGGACGATCTTGCCTTTAAACCCAGGTCCTTGGTGTGTTCCAGCTCTTCTGGTTCTCTTGTGGCTACCTGATCCAGCGCCAATATTCTTTTTCCCTTCAGGCCAGGGCTATCAGCCTGAATGGGGAATATATTAATCAGTTTATGAAAATACTGTGACCAGAGGCTCTCAGGAGCCTGACTCTATTTCCCCAGGAGCAATGGTTCAGTGTTCCTAATTCAATGTTCTTGGCGACTTTATAGAACATTGTTACGGCAACTCAGGAGAATCAATTACATGTAAGAATAGTATGATCTAATAAAAAATGCTTGCCTTTTTAAAAAAATCTTTTTCATACTTTTGACACATTTTGGGACAGTGAAGTCAATCACCAGTCATTTTCTCCAGTCATCTGTTGCTCACCGAGAAATGCTAAAAACAAGAATAGGTTTCTGTTCTCAAGCAAGAACAAATGTGCCCAAGCTTTCTCTCCCCCCACAGATCAGAACACTGGAATAAATACTATTCGAGGGAGTGTTTCTGCCACCATGAACTCACAGGGACTTTGGAAAGAAATCTTCGGGGCACAAGATGTTGGACTCAATTTTGGGCAGGCTGCAGCTGAATGAAAACACTGGGCAGAGAGGTCGGAAGACAGGTGGCTCTTGGATCTGAACCTGGGAGCAGGGGAGCCCTAGGCGATGCCCATTCAGGAGTCACTCAAGGGACATCGCCAAGAGGACAGGCTTCGGAAGCCAAGGGGACCAGCAGAGGAGTGCCCAGCCCCGCCTTCCCTTGCCTGGGACCTCTGGCCAGCAGCCTCAACATTCCTCACCCCCCACCAGGTGATGCAGACTGAACCTGCTCACCGGGCAGAACTCCAAAGGTGCAATCAATGTTTGGAAAAAAAATTGTATAATTTATTTGCATGACATTCAATTTCATCATTAAATTTTACAATTTAAAAAAGATACAAAAGAGAAGACGAGCTGTGGGTCACATAAATAAAAAGGAAAAATAAAGAAGGAAGACATTTTCACCATGACAAAGCATTTTTATATCTGGCTTGGGCAGCAGGCACCTCAGGGTGCTACCTGTTTGCAAGGTTCCTAGGTGCTGCTTCCCACAGAGGCACATGACGCGGGAGCATCCTGCAGGTGGGACTGCATGACCTTCCACTGCAAGGTTAAGTCCCTGCAGTAGAATTATCCCTCCATTCTTTTTTCTTTTCTTTTTTTTTTTTTTTTTTTTTTTGAGGCTGAGGTCTCACTCTGTTGCCCAGACTGGAGTGCCGTGGCATAATCACAACTCACCACAGCCTTGACCTCCTGGGTTCAGGCAATCCTCTCGCCTCAGTCTCCCAAGTAGCTACAGGTGCGCACCACCACACCTGGTTAATTTTTGGGTTTTGTCTTTTTTTTTTTGTAGAGATGAGGTCTTGCTATGTTGCCCAGGCAGGTCTTTCATTCCTGACCTCAAGCAATCCTCCGCCTCGGCCTCCCAAAGTGCTGGGATTACAGGCGTGAGCCACTGCACCCAGCCCCCATTCCTTCATTCTTGACAACTGTTGTGCTTGGACAGGAGGCAGAATCACAGTGAAGGAGTGCTCACAGGTCAAGTATCAGTCAGTGCGAGAGGGGCCCCTCCCCCAGTGGAAGCCCATGGTGCCAGAAGGGACCACAGGCAGTTCAAAACAAAACGCAGCTTCCTCTCCTGCGTTGCAACACAAGCACTTTTGTCCAGCACATTCATGTATCAAACACGAAGTCAGCGGCCATTTTGTCTCAAGTCGTTCCAACGTGTCACTGCTGGCACTTGGCAAAGACAGTAACAGTTTCAAAGAGCCAAAGGTAGGTGAGGTGGGCTGCTTGGAGGCATCAAAAGCCCAGATTCCAGGAGCACTGAGGTAGCAACATGTAGAAACACCACGTGGAACAGTGTATCTTACACTGTGCATCCCTGATAGCCCCAATAGACTTCAGTTTCCAGTGATGAGCAGGCCTGAAGAGGGGTGTGCACGATCTCTAGGGGGATGGGGGTAGGGACAGGGAGGGAGAGGAAGGCTAGGTCTCCCTCTAAGACTCCAGTAGAGACCTGCACCAGTAGTCAGGAGCAAGCATCTTTGTAGTCGCCTTCCTTGTGAGCTGCCTTCCTTCCTGAGAGTGCCTACACTCTCAGGCCCAAAGAAGAAAAAAAAGGTTTCTGTTGCCCTTGTAAGTGACTACTGTGTCACCACCCATGAAGGGCTGGTCCCTTTATTTCCAGCCATTGTCCAGGGCTGCTAAGGTACTAAAAAATAATCTTCAAAGATCCCGTGTGGGGAGCCAGGCCATGGGGTTATGCAGGGGGCCCCCTGAGGGCTGTTCCTGCAGGTCCAGCCATCCAGCAGCTGAGTGGTATCAGCTCCACACTCATCCAAAAGTGTCCCCCAGGATGGACTCAGGATGAAAATCCCGACTGAACAGCCTCCACTCCTCTCCCCTGCATTTGACCGAAGGTGCCCACACCCAGCGACTGTCACCCCTGTGGACAGGGGTCAAGGAGAACGGCCTGGGGCAGGACAGCCGCTGCAACTGGCACAGAATGGCAGAAAGGGCCAAAGTCAGACAAGTTCATGATTTAATAACAGTGAAAGGACCTGTGAATCGTTTCTAAAAGTAAATCACGCATGGGGAACCAGCATCGGTCCCTCCCTTTTCTTGCAGGGTGATGCCGAGGACAAAGGCCACATGGATTAGCTGTTTGCCTGTTCAAATAGGAAAAACAAAACAAAAGATGTTATTTTCTTAAGACAAACAAAGGAAGAAAATTATTTTTTTCTTCTGGATTGACATGAAGTACTTGGAAGCCAAATAAGCAAGCTTAGAAGAACAACGGGATCATTTTGTCTCAGCATGGGGGTCAGTGTTTGATTAGCCAAGTCCTTGCTGCCCTCTGCTCTCTGCCCATCACCAAAGGTTTGATTTGATGAGGTTCCCTGGGATTACTGAGTAATTTGAGCCAGACCTGAGGTGGTCAGCAGAGCATGAAAAAGGTTCATGCAAATTGAGCCCCAGATTTTTCCTTCCAATCACAAGGAGGCAACATGCAAGTGAGGCCGGTCAGTGGTGATAGCCAGACACCACAGGGATAGGTGGGCATGAGGAGGAAAGGTAAGCATCAGAGGGGTGGGGAAGATGTCCCTAACAGTACCCCCTTGGCCATGGGAATTAGGGTTTGCTTCATGCTGACCGGTGGTCAGCAGTCAGCTTCTAGCAGCAGGACCAAACCCAATGGGTATCTGGCTTTGGATCAAGGCATCCGAGAACTCAGTCAGAAGGAGAACGGGAGGGTTACCCTCATCTGCCGGTAAATCCAGTCTGTGAATACTGTCACATTCCCATACACTCCTGGCCTGTTGGCCTTGGCACAGCCAGACCCCCAGCTCGTGTCCCCAATCAGCCACCAGATGCTGTTCTTCTGTGTGACCAGAGGCCCTCCACTGTCACCCTGGGGGACACAGCAAGTTACCAAGAGAGAAAATCAAGTCACCACCTTCCCCACCCCACTGCCCGTGCCTGGGGGGGGTGGGTGGGGAATCTCAATGTGAGTTACAGAGGGGCATGGTGATAGAGACATAGCCCCCAAAAGAGGCGACACCGGTGATGAATTTTAGTCCATACCAGCTAATCGTTACCAAGCAAATTGCTGCTCATAGTTTAAAATATTTCTGTTCCCCTGACACTTTTACCAACACAAATTTTTCAGAAGGAGCATGGCATGTGGGGTCTGGGGATGGCACTTGCTCCCACCATTGAAGCTTCTAAACTGTTAGTGGCCATCACATCCTGCAGCAGCCCTTAGCTGGCTTTGTGTCCCTGGGAAGCTCCACCGACCCCAGGAGAACCCTGTCTGTCACAGGGGGCTCAGAAGGAGCTGGCAAGACCCACAGGCTACATAAAAACTCCCCGTTACCTGGCAGGAGTCCACGGTCCCCTGCAGGAACCCCGCGCAGATCATGGTCGGTGTGATCAGGCTATTGTAGACATATCTGCTGTTGCATCTCCAGGGCTCAATGAGGCGCACCCTGGCGGCGTTCAGCATGTCTGAGGTTTTCCCTAAGGACAGAGGGACCCAATAAGCTCTCAGGCCACCAGGAGCTCCCACAGGAAGAGTGGACCACCACACACACTGTGCAGCAGCCATGCCTCTCTCTGGTCCCTCTCTCCCTCCCTCCTTCAGCCCACCCCAGCAGGAGCCCTCCTGGGGACCCTGAATTCTCCTAACAGCCAGCAGAGCCTGTGTTGAATGCAGCTCTGACTCAGCTTCAGGGGAAAGTGCTTCCTGCAGTTATTTGACTCTGTTTATCTGACCACAGTCTGTTTATCTGACTCTGTTTATCTGCTCCCAGGCATTCACAAGAGACATGAAGCTCCTGAGGGCAGAATGTATGTCATATTCCATTCATTCCCAGCACTGAGTAGCACCCAACCTATATGAGGTGCGCCACTTATATTTGTTGATGTTCCTTTTCGTCTTGGTTCCTCGAGTCCTTGCCCCACTATACAGCTCAACTTCAGTAAGTTTCTGCAGACAAGATGCCAGGATACCCCACCACCACCTCCCCCATACACCCCGCAAATCACCCAGCCCTTGTCCTTTTCCCTTGTCTTAAAGGACTTGCAAGTATGACCTAAATGCCTTTTTTGAAAGACATACACAGTATATAAAATGAACCTGTGTGCTGTGAAGCACTTCCAGCCCTCCATAAAAATGACACAACCAGGTTTGGTTCATTCAAAAAGCTTTTTCCAAGAGGAATGCAAATCTTAACTGAAGGAGACTAAGCAAACCTTTTCAAGGAGTGTCTAGTTCCTGCCCCCTCTCTAGTTATAGGTCAGAAGGACACTTGTCAGATGCCAGCTGGCCACCGTGGAAGCCCACTGTCACTCAGCCATCACAGAGTACGATGAAACTTTCAGGGCAGGCCTTACAAACAATAGGCCCATCACAGGGTGTTTGGCTCTTCTCACACGTAGATGGCCCTTATGCTTCACAAAGCCACTTCTCTATTACTGGTCTTAATAAGGACATGGTGTGTTATGTAGGGTGGGTACAATTTTTCTCATTTATTATGGAGAAACTGAGGCATGAGGACTAGGGGAATCACCCAAAGTTACTGGATAGTCATTGAGTACAGTCCTCTACATAACAACCTTTAAGTTATATAACAGTCTTCAAGTTATAAACTTAAAGGATGCACACTTGTATCTTTATGTATCATTTATCTCCATTAGGTGACAGTATAGACTGTTAAATACTTATAGTACTACATAGCCAATTGTGTTTGTTGGGTACCTTGGCTAACTTTGTTGGACTTAAATTGGTCTTACAAATGCACTCTCAGAATAGAACTCATTCATATATTGAGGACTTTCTGTAGCAGGACCAAGATTAAAACTCAGAGGTCCCACTTCTGAACCCATAGACCTCCATCCCCAGGAGCCTCACCTTTCTCCTGGGTGGCCCCCCACCCTGAAATCCAGCAGGTCTGTTCAGGTTCCAACCTCATGCCAGGGTTGGGCAGGCACACTGGTTTCACTCTATCTGTTTCAAGGAGAGAAAACACCATGAGCCAGGCAGGTCTCATGGAAGACCCTGGCAACGTTTCTACCTGGCCCTCCCATGCACAGGACGCTGGGCCTGGCACCCCAGCCACCCTGCCCAGAAACCCCAAATTCCTATGTGTCCTGGCATCCTCCCTTCCCCCTCCTCCCAGGGCCCTCCTTCTAGCAGGCAAGACGTTGTGCTACTTCTAAGTGCAATTATTTGCTAGCTCTGCTCCTAAAAATATACACGTTCCCAGGTAACAGAGGGTATGAAAGACACATGGAGTGGGGCAGTGACTGAAAAGCCTATGGCACTCGGTTAGGACCCCAGACGCCCGGGCTAGATGCCATGCCATCACACATGCCTTAACTTTTCTGTGAACAGTTCCCCAGCTTGGATACAAACACCTCCTGGGGAGAGACAAGATTTTGCTTCTTCCATATCCACATGGAGCTAGAATATTCGGACCCTTGGATGGACTAGAGTGGGGGCCACATAAGAAGCTAAGAGAAGCCGGGCTCAGTGGCTCAGCCTGTAATCCCGCGCTTTAGGAGGCTGAGGTGAGTGAATTGCCTGAGCCCGCGGGTTCGAGACCCGCCTGGGGCAGCGAGACCTCATCTCTACAATAAATAAAAAAATCAGCCAGGTGTGGTAGCACGTGCCTGTAATTCCAGCTACTCAGAAGGCTGAGGCAGAAGGATCGCTGGATCCCAGCAGGTCAAGGAGCCCAGCGGCCACTGCACTCCAGTCTGAGCAACAGAGTGAGACTCCAACTCAAAAAAAAATAAAATAAAATAAAAAAGCTAAGAGAAAGCACGTTTGTTTTAAATCAAGCATCTTGCTTTCAGGATATATGTTTTAAAAAATCAAGTACTGTATCTTTACAAATTATAGACCTGGAATTCTTAACTGGAGGCAACTTTGCCACACAAGAGACATTTGCAATGTCTGGAGACAACATTGGTTGTCACGAGGGGGAGCCAATGACCTCCTGGGGGTGGAGGTGGGGAATGCCGCTAATGTCTTGAGAGGCTCAGGACAACCCCACAACAGAGAATTGTTCAGCTCCAAATGTCAAGAGTGGTGTGATGGAGAGCCCCATTTCTAGACTTTTCCATGTCTGGCTTGAATTGTCATGGCTCCATATAGCCCAGAACGGTGCTACTGGCTCCCCTAGCATGCCACAGGCACCCTTGGCCTCTGCTGAGCCTCTACCACCAGCCTCCTCTTGTTCAGTGCAAATGCCTCCCTCCCGTTTAGCACAAGCCTTCTTTGCAATCAGCGTCTCCTCAGGAATCGGTCAGATCATCCACCACCCAAGCCACGCGTACCATTGAAACTCAGAGCCGTCTGCAGCTTCATCAGTGCGATGTCATTGTTCTTGGTCTTGGAATCGTAACTTGGATGAGAAATCACTTTCTCTACTCGGTATCCACTTCCATAGAACATGTAAGACTGCTTCAAAATCCCCGCAAATACTGTCCAGTGCCGAGGATTGTTAAGGGGTCTAGAAGATGAAGTGAACAGCATTCACACTCAGCGTCTCAGCCACAGACACGAAATTCTCTCCTGATGACCTTCAGACACTGTGAACTGGAACCATGATTCCCAGAGGCCAGGGGACTCACCAAAAACCACACAGCAAGACCGTGGGGAGGCAGCGGGCCTTCTCTCCTCCCCCATCACCCTTTCCATTCTCCCTTGTTCTTCCTCTTGCTTTACCTGCCAAGGAATCTGCCCTTCCTGCACCAGCCCACACAATTGGACCTAAATCCCTCTTTGAGGTTTCAAAAGCCATTTTTAGCAGGATTGGGCCTTACTTATCTTTAGTGGGCTAAGACATTTCCTGGCATGCAGTTGATGTTTAATAAATACATACTGATGAACAGACTTGAAGTGAAATCTCAAAGTATTCTCTTTATCTAGGTGTTTCTCTTTTCAGAGAATCCCAACTCCTAGGGGGACCTGGGCATCTGGGGGCATGGAGTGGGGGCTGGGAGGGAACACTCTTGGGTAATCCCCTTGCTTTCCTCCCACTTCACATAGCCCTGGGAGGAGCACACCATGCCTGTTTTACAGGTGTAGATGCTGCGGGTCAGAGGCATTGAGTGAATTGTCTAAAGTCACATAGTCAGAGGACAGCTGGGGGTCAGGCTCAGCCTCTCTCTAGGCAGAAAAATACACGTGCTCAGTGAGGCTTTCTCCAAAACAGGCATGTGACCTAAACACTGTATGCTTAAGAAAAAGGCTAGCTAGGGGTGAACAATGTCTTCCCAAAAACCAACACTGTAACTCTCTGGTGGTTAATGCCATGGTCAAAGATGCTTAACCCCAGAGAACTTTCCAGCAGGGCAGTTTGAGGTACCCGAGGTGTCTGAGTGTGCTCTCTCCTGAGACCAGCATCCAGGAGAGAAGAGACCACCATGGGATGGGGGCTGAGGTGGCTGAAAGGACAGTGGGCTAGAAGGAATTCTGGTCACAAGACATCACTGAGCATTTCTCAGCCCCATATCCAGGACCCTGCACACAGGGAACACTCAATACACCTTTGCTGAAGGGTGACACAGCCCTGCGCCTCTTGGACAGTAGCTCACCTAGCCCTCCCAGCAACATTAGGAAGCAGGTGCCATTACTCTGTCCACAAGGACACTGGAGCTTCAAGGTTCAGGACTTCCAACAAGGTCAAGTGGTGGCAGGAGTCCAGTTCAAAACCTGTGTCATCCCCACTCCCGACCAGACCCTTGGACGATGACGTACTCTTCCACGCAGTGGGCGGCTGTTATAATCCACTCGGGGGAGATGATGGAGCCTCCGCACACATGAACATCCTGGACGTGCAGGCTGACCTGCCAGGGCCACTCCCCCAGGGCCGCGTTCTCGCCGCCCACGATCCTGCTCTGGCGGCTCATGTTGGAGGTGACCCCGCATGCTGAGGGCAACAAGCACAAGGCAGATGCATGGGTGAGACCAGCAGGAGCGTCTGTGCCACATCCAGGCCCACAGACCCAACTGCACCCCAGCACTGCCCTCCCGGGGTCTCACCACTTGCTGGGCAGATGGCAGCCACCGATGATGTCTGACTGTGACTACTAATGCCAATGGCCTTCGGGTTGGGAATAGGAGGATATTCCTCCAGCCCATTCAGGCCCCTAGGAAGCGCCACTTTGCTGGGCACTTGTGTGACTCTATGGGGACTCCCAAAACCCAAGTGGGGAGGGTCCTGGATGACAAAGCCCCAGAGTTCCTTGAGTCCTGGAGAGACACATAATGTTTAGAGGCCCCAAGATTCTTGATCCATGGGAAGGAAGATGGGGTGGGGCAGGACTGGGAATGAGGGAGTGAGCAAGGTGGTGAGTGAGGGGTCAATGAGAGGACATCCAAACTGTCCAACACCCAACCTGTCCTGGGACCACTACACTCTGGTGGCAGGGACGGGCCACAGAGACACAGGGAGAGGGCTAGAATCCACCTGTGGGCAGACGATCTTAAGTCAGTGGCCCTGAGGTAAGAACTGGATGCCAGGTATAGTTTCAGGCTAATCACCCCCAAGTGGTTTGGGCCCAGAGCAGCAGAGGGGCATAACCCGAGTGGGTGGTTAATTTCTCGACACTTGGTGATTAAGCAGGTATTAATGGAGGTGATAGGCATGTTGTCGAGAAATGATTGGACTGAAATGTGCTATGTATGATAAATAACATAAAGTCTTATGTAATATTATGGATTAATATTATTGGTCTAGCCGGGCTCGGTGGCTCAGCCTGTAATCCCGCGCCTTTGGGAGGCTGAGGTGAGTGAATTGCCTGAGCCCGTGGGTTCGAGACCCGCCTGGGCAGCAAGACCTCATCTCTACAATAAAATCAAAAAATCAGCTGGGCGTGGTAGCACATGCCTGTAATTCTGGCTACTCGGAAGGCTGAGGCGGAAGGATCGCCGGAGCCCAGCAGGTCGAGGCTGCGGTGGCCGGGAGCGGCCACTGCACTCCAGTCAGGGCGACAGAGTGACACTCCAACTCAAAAAAAAAAAAAAATATTATTGGTCTAAAGCAGTTATCCAATTGAATTAGGCTTGCTTATTCGACAGGTTTTTAATAGATTCTTGTACGTGATTATATGCATGGGGTATATAACTTAATGTACAATTAAACATAGATGTCCTATGGAAGTGGTTGGTGGGGGTTAAGGCCCAGATATTGCTGGGCACATCTCCAGAGAATCCCCCTGCTCCTGCTCCGGTCATTGCCTGGCAATTGGCAGCAGCTCCAATGGCCGCTCACTTGATGACCCCCAGACCGACTGCTACTTCCCCCCTACTTCCTCACCTGTGGGGGTCTTTTCTGCCTGTCATGGGCAGGGGGTAGAACGGGCACCATGGGATCTTGTAGCCATGTGGGACAACTACTCAGTACTAAGAAGGCCTGGGCCCAGCCTCACCAGGAAGTGACAGCATCACACCTCCCACCTCTTAAAGTGAAAAACTCAGCTCACAGCAGGGACCCAGAACAAGACTAGGCAGTCTCAGAGGACAGGACAGGCACTGTCCCTTCCATACTGGCAGATGGTTTGGAAATAAGCAATCCAAACACAGAGATGGTGATACCCAAATCCAAGCCACTGTCCAAAATTCAGGAGAGAAGAAGTGAGAGGGTGCCGGGTCTCCAGGCTCATCTCTCCTCTGAGTCCCAGCACCCAGTGGGCACCTGATGGCAGTGTCATGGTCCCAGGTTGTAGCCCAACCAGATGTTGTGCAAATGTTCCAACACACAATTGTTCCTAGGGCTCACTAAGGCCGTCTCACTCTCTGGAGCAGGAGCCCCACCAGGCCTCCAGTTAAGGTTGGCACAACAAATAAGTACTTGTCAGCTTCTTGAGATGGCCTGTCTCCATGGGTGCCTCTTGGACCCAAAGCTGAAGGTGTCTACAGCAGGAAGTCTCCTACCTACGAACATTCAAGTTGTGAACTTTGAAAGATGTGTGTTTTATATAATGTTTCTCTCCACGAGGTGGTAGTATATAGCCTGTTAAATACCTACAGTACTATGTAGCCTACTGTGTTAGGCTACTTTGTTGTACCTTGGTTAACTTTGTTGGGTTTACAAAAATTGGACTTCTAAACTCCCTCCTGAAATGGAACTCGTTTATCTGTTGGGGACTTAAATTGGAAACCACAAAAGGAACCCCATGGACAGAACAAGAGGCCTCTGGACACATCCCCACCTATTATCCCACATCCTCCCCTTTCCACATACCCCAGAGACACAGGTGAACTATTTTCCAAAGGTATAGGGTGCTTCTTAGTTAGAAATAGAAGAAAGAATCAGGAAGTACTTACCTATGCACCGTAAAGAAATCACTGTTTTTGAGGAACAGGAATCACTAAAAAAAAGAAGAGGAAATTCTCGTCATGAAAATAAATGAGATGAACACATGACTCTCCATACTTAGAAATGAGTATTTTCAGCCAGGCTCGGTGGCTTAGCCTGTAATCCCAGCACTTTGGGAGGTTGAGGCAAGTGGATTGCCTGCACCTGTGGGTTTGAGACCAGTCCGGGCAACTTGGCAAGACTTCTTCTCTACAATAAATCAAAAATTAGCCAGGAGTGGTAGCACGCGCTTATAGTCCCAGCTACTTGGAAGGCTGAGGCAGAAGGATCGCTGGAGTCCAGCAGGTCGATGCTGGGTTAACCGTGAGTGTGCCACTGCACTCCAGCCTGGGCGACGAAGTGAAACTACAACTCAAAAAAAAAAAGAAATGAGTATTTTCTTTTAGTGGGTGTGGTAGCTCATGCCTGTAATTCCAGTGTTTTGGGAGACTGAGGTGGGAGGATTGCTTAAGGTCAGGAGTTCAAGACCAGCTTGTACAACATAGTAAGACTCCTGTCTCCACAAAAAATTTAAAACTTAGCCAGGTCTGGTGGTGCACGCCTAGTTCTAGCTACTCAGGAAGCTGAGGCAGGAGGATCAATTTAGCCCAGGAAGTCAAGACTACAGTGAGCTATGATCACACCATTGCACTCAAGCCTGGATAACAAAGTGAGACCCTGACTCTAAAAACAATTTTTAAAAAAATCTTTCAAAATTCTTTTTCCAGTCTCTCCAGATTTAAAAGAATCTACTAGTTATGACTCCAACAAGATAAATAAATCTATGTAGGGAACGGTGACAAAGAACAGACACAAAGTCAAAGCACAAGGCTCAAATCTCAGCTGTGTGAGCTTGGAAAAGTTACTTAACCTCCCTGTGCTTATTTTCTCCATCAATAAAATAGGATAATAACCGAGTTGTCTTAGAGTGGTTGTGAGGGTAAGTACATGATGATGTTAGTTTTTATTTTTATTCTTGGAATGTAAAAATCATCCTCTAATTTTGTAAGGAAGCCCTTTGGAAACTCTGGGACCATATGACTGATTTGCATTTATAGAAAGCAATAAAACTGGTAATTTGCCTGGAAGCAGATGAAAAATGAGTTACACATTTGGGAGCCAAACATCTCAGGTTATGGATGGAAAAGAAATGATCGATGCATGCTGCCCTCATGAATCTCCCATGATATCCTGAGAAGAAGCAGCCCTGGCACGCAGGCCCAGTCCGGCACGGACAGTGGGGCCATGCGTCCTGCTGAGCACGCATGGTTCCACCAAGCATCAGTGTGAGACTAGGCACCCTGTGCCCCAGATGGGGCTGAACACAAACAAGCCCACTCCGAAATCACAACTGGACTGAACAGGAGCCTTATTAAAACCACAAGGTGGTGACCTGATGCCTTCTCCCATCCTGGCTAACTTGAGTGGCAGGTACCTTTTTACCAACCACAGTTGTAGCCCAGCTGCATTCCGGCTGCCTTCCCAAAAAAACATAATGAGGCAGCCATCATGAAATGACCCCCATTGCCTGACAGCTTCTAATCCCGCTTCCTCCAACCTCCCCAAAACTACCTCACATAAGCCCAGGTCCTACAGGAGGTCCTTCCCAACACCCTCCTGACTGAGATGCCTCCCCCCTTCCTCCGGGCCTCCACAACAGAAGGCGTGGGGGACTTTGGCTCTGGGGTACTGTTCCCTTTAAGAGAATATGTTTTCTAAGAATCCTAAAGTCAGCACAGACAGCGGCCACCAGCACCAGGGCACTGGCAGGAGCCTGACAGTAGCCAAGCTGGAGACGAGCATCAAAGGGCACCGCCTGAACAAAGAGAGGAAAGGAAGAGCCCCTTCCCCCATCACAAAGACAGAATACAAGAGACATACCAGACAATGACCCTCTCTTCTTTCTTTTAAGCCCTCCAGCACCTTGAGAGTTCCCAAGGCTGGTGCCAAGGAATGGCGGCCGTCTCTCCCCTTCCCCTGCCCCTGCCTGGCTGGACTTTTCATGGCTCCCTGATCTCATGTGTAACACAGAAAGACAAAGAGCCACTCAGCACGTACAGAGCGCCCAGGCAGCTGTGTTTGGCTTCTCCATAGGCAAACCACAGCCCCGCTGTTTTGATGGACACACCTGACTATGCACAGCATCCCCACCAGGCTTGCTCTGTCGCATTCCCTGGGGACAGCAGGCTGCAGCGGAAGTCAGCCCCCCAGACACCTCAGTCAGTGGCCACCAGGAATGCAAACTTGCTGCAGCCTCCCACTCGGAGACAAGGTGGAGCGGTGTGACGGGTTCATCCTCTCCCGAGAGGAAGCAGCTGGCACCTGCCAGAGAGGAGAGACCTGGCCACCTGGGAATGAGCCATGGGGACCTGGGAAGTGATGATGGCTTGAGTGAGAAGGACGCTGTGTATCTAACATCAAAAACAAAAACAAAAACACTCATGGCCTAGGCAACATAGCGAGACCTGGTCTCTACAAAAAATTTTTAAAAATTTTTAAATTAAAAAATTAACCGGGCATCGTGAGTCCCACTTGGAGCTCTAGCTACTCAGAAGGCTGAGGTGGAAGAATCACCTGAGCCCAGGAGGCTGAGGCTGTAGTGAACTGTAAGCATTTCACTGTACTCCAGCCTGGGTGACAGAGTGAGACTCTGACTCAAAAAATAAAAACAAGAAACAAATCAACAAAAACCCACAGAGCTACTACCAGTCCCAGTAAGGTCTAATCTCCTTCCAGGGCAAAGGCCATCCAGGCCCAGCACTGCAGCTTCTAGAAATCAGACTCCAGACAATTCCTTGTGGTATCTCCTTATGGGTCTCATGAAAAACTTTTTCAAAGAAAGAAAGAAACCCCACATACCTGTGGTACAGTTTCTTATAGAGATCGACACTGCTGGCACTCATGTTCAGCTTCATGAAGCTTGTGGCCCCGCTGTCATCCACTACTTCTTGGCTAGAGTAGAAGCTATTCCTAAAAAGGCAGAAAACTTTACTGACAATCGTAGTTCAGTCGTCAGTGAACACAGATCCTATGCTCTGCCATCATACTTCTCTCGTAGGACATTTAGATCAAGAGGGGAAAACCTTTGCATTTTGGAAAACAAAATCACAAGTTCTAACCAAGTGACATTGTTCATCAAATGGCTAGATAGCTGTTTTGCAATCCAATAACCTTGAAGTGTCAGGTAAAACTCCTCCATTGGTCGTGTTTCTAATCTAGCTTGGGTTAGGATAACAATAAGAAAAAATAATACGTATGTATTAGTATATAATCATACATACATGTACCTAATAAAATCTACAGACAGGCCAGGTGCAGTGGCTCACACTTGTAATCACAGCACTTTGGGAAGCTGAGGTAGAAGGACTGCTTAAGCCCAGAAGTTCAAGACCAACTTGGGCAAAATAGTAAGACCTCATCTCTATAAAAAGTTTAAAAAAAATTAGCCAGGCATGGTGGCACACACCTGTGGTCTCAGCTACTAGAGAAGCTGAGGTGGAAGAAGCACCTGAGCCCAGGAGGTCAAAGATATTGTGAGCCATGATTGTACCACTGCATTCCAGCCTGGGTGACAGAGTGAGGCCCAGACTGGGAAGGAAGAGGGGGTAGAAAAGAAGGGAAGGAGGGAAAGAAGGAAGGAAGGAAAGAAGGAAGGAAGGAAGGAAGGAAGGAAGGAAGGAAGGAAGGAAGGAAGGAAGGAAAAAGAGGGAAAAGAAAGAGGAAAAGAAAAGAAGGAAAGCCAGCCACTAAATGCCATGATTGTGCCACTGGGTGACAGAGTGAGACCCCGGCTCAAAGTGAAAGAGAGAGAGTCACTCTATGCTCTCCGTCTGTACCCTTGACGTGTGACCACGCACTGGGCATTCTTGGGCAACCAAGAGCCTAAAGACACCAAGGAGGATGCAGGGCAGGGTGGCAGTGAGCTGTGGTCAAAGCTGGGCAAAGCTCTCAGCAGACAAGTTTCACCTGCTGGTGACACAGATCAGCTTTTGGAAGAAGACAGTTGCCCCCAGCATCCCTGTGCCAGTGATTCCACGGGGGCAGAAGACCTTTCTCGTGACTCTGCTGTTGTTGTGGTCACTCCTCCAGTGCCGCCCCTTACTCACTTATAGCCCATGTCCCTGCACGCCGCCCGCCCGTAGTTCTCGCTCCAGTCATCTCTGCACACGGGGTGCCAGGACTTCCTCTGAGATGAGTACACTTGAAGGATGAAGTTTGGTCCGTAGAGACGAACTGCACGAGAAGGAAGATTCTCCATCAGTTTCATACAGTTTTCCCAGCTCTCAACTCCTAACTGCTGCCTGAGCCCACGCTCTTCTGAGGACAGTGGTACCCCAGAGGTGACAGCGCAAGGTTCAGTCTTCTCAAGGCACTGACCACACAAAAAGGGAGGCCACGGATCTATTCTTTCCCTGCTAGAAAGTGTTCTCTACAGTGTGCTCTGTACACAGTACTCTCTAAACTTTCCATTAAATAATTGAAAACAGGTACTAAGGGGCCAGGTGTGGTGGCTCATGCCTATAATCCCAGCACTTTGGGAAGCCAAGGCAACAGGATTGTTTGAGTGAAACCAGCCTGGGCAACATAGCAAGACCTCATCTCTACAAAAAAATCAAAAATTATCCGAGTGTGGTGGCACACACCTATAGTCCCAGCTACTCAGAAGGCTGAGGTAGAAGGATTACCTGAGCCTAGGAGGTTGAGGCTGTGGTGAACCACGATCGTGCCACTGTACTCCATCCTGAGTAACAGAGTGAGACTCAAAAAAAAAATTTAAAAATTAAAAAGTAAAGAAAAAGAAAACAGATATTCAGACCAAAACTTGTACAAACATTTGTTGCAGCCCTATTCACAATACCCAAAGGTAGAAACAACCCAAATGTCTGCCGATGGAATATTATTCAGTCATGAAAGGAAGTGTTGGCTCAGCCCACAACATGGGTGAACCCTGGGGACATGACTCTGAGTGGAAAAAGCCGGTCACCAAGGTCCACACACTGTGTGTGAAATGTCTAGACCAGGAAATCCTTAAGCAGGAAGTAGATTGGTGCCTACTTAGAACTGAAGGATGGGCAGGGATGAGGAATGTGGGTGACAGGCCAGGGGTCTAGGTCTTCCTTATGAGATGCTGAAAATGTTCTAAAATGGGCCATGGTGATGGCTGCACGTATCTGTGAAGAGGTAAAAACTGCTAAATTATAGACTTGAATTTTATGGCGTATGAATTCTGTCTCCATAAAGCTGCTTACAAAAAATAAATATGAGAGAAGGTTAAAAGTGTATTTAGAAAGTGCTCTATAAGCATTCCCTGGAAGCAAAAAGTTGACCTGCTCTTGTCTAAATCCCCAACCCTGGCCAAGTGTCCAAAGTGCTGCATGTCATCCCAAACATGTGCAGTGTTGGGGACACAGAATGCCTCCAGATTAATCCACATTCTGCCATAACAACCTGTCTCTTTTGCTTAACTTTTTCCATTTGCCCCGAGAATACTCACAAGCAGCATTTGCGGCTGCAGCTTTTACCCTGAAATAACTCTCAGATCACAGTCCTAACCTCACCCCCAAAGTCTGCCATGAAATGGTTTGCTTTTATTACTATTTTCACATTGCTCTAGTAGATCGATAATCTTTGGAAACAAATGACATCATTCTATTTATAGCATTCTGGTTTTAGTAGTGGTATGTCCATTTACAAAATATAGTAATTCTTCTTTTTTTCTTTTTTAGTAATTCTCATTAGGATTAGAGACAAGTTCTGTTTAGAAATAACTCCAAGAGCAATTTTTTAATCTTATTTTCACATCGAAAAACAGTCAGATTTGCTTCAGCCTCAAAGAGAGTGTTAATGTAAAATTAATTGAATGCATCAGTGAACTGCACTTTTTTGTTTTTCCTAAATGGAAAATGGGTTAAAGAAAGAAAACATTATAAATATACTTTAAGACCCTCCCTGTACTAGTCTCTTCTGGAGGTAGCCACATCCAGAGCTTTGGGAACTTTTCACTAGGTACGGAATCCCATGTCACTTGAAGATTAACCAGAGTATCATGTACCTGCAGGAACAATGTTGAAGTGAGAGAACAAGTTGCTGAAAGATGTATTCATTATGACATCACTCTTGCCAGATGTCAACAGTGCTGTGTGGCTTGGGGGGGCACGCGTGGGCTTGAAGCATAAAAAGCGTGGCTATACTTCTGGCTCCTTTCTCACCTCCTGCCTATAGCCTGACTCACAGGATAGCTGGACATCTGTGGGCTCGTCCTTCATGAGATGATGAGACTGGGGTCTGATTATGTTCTCATGCCTCAGTGATGACTGATTCCGCACACTGTGTGAGTTGACCACATGCTATGTGAATGAATGAACAACTGGTGCTGTGTCCAGACAGGAGAATATTATTCAGTGCTAAAAAGACAGGGGTTATCAGGCCATGAGGAGACGTAAGGAACTTGAATGCATGTCTGATTCCAGTTATGTGACATTCTGACAAGAGTAAATAAACTAGAGAGGCCCTACAAAGATCAGAAGGAGCCAGGGGCTGGCAGGTACAGATAAATAGATGAGGAACAAGAGACCTTAGAGCAGCAGAACTATTCTGGATGATACCATAAAGGTGGCCAGTCAACATTACACATTTGTCAAAACCCACAGAACTATACAAGGGAAAGAGGGAATTCTAATGTCAAAGGAGGACGTTGGTTATTAATGATGTATTTGGTAGGGCGTGGTGGCTCACACCTGCAATCTCAATACTTTGGGAGGCTGAGACAGGACGATTGCTTAAGCCCAGGAGTTCAAGATCAGCCTGGGCAACATAGCAAGACCACATCTCTGCAAAAAAAAAATAAAAAAATTAACTGGTAGTCCTGGTTACTAGGGTGGCTGAAGTGGAAGGATTGCCTGAGCCCAGGAGGTTAAGGCTGTCATGAGCCGTGATCATTGTGATCATGCCACTGCATTCTAGCCTGGGCAACAGTGAGACCTAATTCAAACTAATAATAATGATGATGATGAAGTATTCAACAGGACATTCATGTCTGCTCCAGGTGGGCACCAAGGGGTCATCTTCCTCACTAGGACATTCCACAAGTCAGGACCAACAGCACACCTTCCACAGGTAACCAAGCTAACAGTGAGGATGTCACAGGAAGCCAATCCTCGCCAGGGATACTCAGAGGAAGGAAGGATGACTGTATTGTGTAAATTTTTTTTTTCTAGCATTCTCAGCCAGCTCTAAGGTTTGTGGTTCTTAAAGAAAATCCCAAGAGGTTAGAAGCACACTTGATGGGGGGAAAGGAGGGATGGGGAGGAGAGAATTATCTAAAACAATTTCTGGTGATTCCTCTGACTCTACAATTCCAAAATTTCTATTATTTTTTAAACAGTGCTAGTACAAACATGTCAGAGTGTGCTTAGCAGGACTAAAATGTGAGCACACACCCAACCACTGTGCTGGGAAATAAATCCTAGGGGAGAAGGAAAATGGAAGAGTCAGTGTTTAAGGAGACAAAAACCAGCTCTATGCCAGCATAGTGTCCAGTCTGACATGTAGTGGGCTTCTGACTCCTGGAATAGGGATTATTAGCACAATTCTCATATTCAGGCACCATTTTCCCTGTTACATACCTTTACCATCCTTAGAATCACTCTCAAAAATACCTAGAAAATAGACTCATGCCTATAATCCCAGCACTTTAGGATGCTAAGGCTTTTGTCCTTTTGGACAGCTTGAGTTCAGGAGTTTGAGATCAGCCTGGGCAATATAGTGAGACCTCATCTCTACAAAAAATCAAAAAATTACCTGGGCATGGTGGCATGCACCAATAGTCCTCGCTTCTCTAGAAGCTGAGATGGGAGGAACACTTGTGCCCAGGAGTTCAAGGCTGTAGTGAGCTGTGATCATGCCATTGCACTCCAGTCTGGGTAACAGAGTGACATCCCAACTCAAAAAAAAAAAAATTAATAGAAAGTAGAAATAGAAATGTCAATGAAAACTACAATTCAGTATCACCTCACACCTGTAAGAATGACTTTTATCAAAAAATATGGAAGATGGCAAGTATTGGCAAGGATGTAGCGAAAAGGGAACCCTTGTACACTGTTGGCAGGAATGTGAATTGTTACAGCAACTATGGAGTACAATATGGAGGCCCCTAAAAGAACTAAACCAAAAACTACCATGTGATCCAGCAATCCTACTTCTAGGTCTATCCAAAGGAAATGAAATTGGTGTGTTGAAGAAATGTCTGCATGCCCGTGTTCACTGCAGCACCACTCACAATAGCCAAGAGAGGAAATCAACCCAAGTGTTCATCAATGGATGAATGGATAAAGAAAATACAACTGAGACCAGGTGGGATGGCTCATGCCTATAATCCCAGCAATTTTGGAGGCCAAGGTAGGAGGATCGCCTGAGTCCAGGAGTTCAAGACCAACCTAAGAAACATTGTAAGACTTTGTCTCTACAAAAAAAAAAATATAGCCAGTAATGGTGGTATGCGCCTGTAGTCCATCCAAGCTACTTGGAAGGCTGAGGTGGGAGAATTGCCTGAGTCCAGGAGGTCAAGGCTTCAGTGAACAGTGATCGTGTCAATGCACTTCAACTGAGCAACAGAGTGAGACCCTGACTCAAAACAAAACAAAAACAACAGATACACACACACACACACAATGGAATACTATTTCACCTTTAAAAAAGAAGGAAATTCTGTCATTTACAGCAACATGGATAGATATGGAGCCCATTATGCTAAGTGAATAAGACAGGCACAGAAAGACAAATTCTGCATGATCTCAATTACATGTGAGGTGCAGAAACATCGAACTTACAGAAGCAGAGAGTAGGATTGTGGTTGCCACGGGACAGAAGATGAGAAAATTCGGGAAATGTTGGTCAAAGGATACAAAATTTTAGCTAGACTATAGGAATAAGTCTAAGAGAGCTATTGTACATCGTGGTGACTAAAGTCAACAACAATATGTTGTATAACTGAAAATTGCAAAAAGAGTAGATTTTAACTGTTCACACCACAAAATAAACTATGTATAAGAGGATAAGCAACTCTTGAATAGCTTGATTCAGTCATTCCACAAAGTCTACATGTATCAAAACATTATGTTGTACACCATAAGTATATACAATGTTTACTTGTCAACAAAAATAAATAAATAAGCAGAGTGCAGTGGTTCAAACCTGTAATCCCAGTACTATGGGAGGCCAAGGCTTCAGGACCACTTGAGGTCAGGAGTTTGAGACCAGCCTGGGCAACATAATGAGACCTCATCTTTATTAAAAATAATAATAGTATATAAAATTAGAATAAAGTAGATAAACAATAGAAAATAATAAAAGCAAACAGAAGTGCCCACTCTGTGATAAGAGACAGAACATTAAAGGCAGTTTGTTTTGAAAATAGCATAGTGCATCCCTAACTTTATAAATATTGAATTAATGCATAAGTTTGTAGCATTTGTTTTTAGCATGGCAACACTGTGGTGTTAGGAGTTAATCGTGTGTCATTTGTCATTTGGAGTGACAATGTTGTGCTTGTGAATACACCTTGCATTTTGCAAATCTGAAGAAAGTGCTATTTGTGGGCTTAAGAAGATGGAATGTCAAGTGAGAAAAAGAAATGAACTCTTCCGACTATTCTTCTGTTTCAGTTTAACAGAGGAGTAAAGGCAGCAGAGACGGCGTAAAGCTTTCGTGTCATATACAGGGAGAATGCCATAGGGAAAGCACAGAAAGAAAGTAATTTTGCCATTTCAAAGACAGTCACTTTGACCTGAGCGATTCTTCATGATCAGGAAGACCATCAGGCTTTGATGAAGATGGTTTAAATGCTTTAATCCACTATGATCCACATCAGGCAACCCAAGAATTGGCAAATGTGATGAACTGATACCAGTCAACCATCATGTGCCATTTGCACTCCATGGGCAAGCAAAGAAGCTACCAACTTAAGCATCAACCCAACTGTTTACTCGTCTTAATTGATGTCCTGCAGCAGTTCGGAGCACATGCGGCTTCAGTGGTGCATCCCCAGTGGCCTAGTCATCTCCTTCCCACTGGTTGTCTGGGGCTGGCCAGGAGCACAGCTCCTCTGAGCCTCATGGCTCAGCCTCAAGGCGGGGATCGTATGACGTCATGTGTCAACACACTGGATACAGGCCCCGCATGGTCGCCCTGCCCTGCCGTACACAGGCACTGTCACTAAGGTAGATGTGAAGAGTCACCACCCTAGGCAGGGCGGTCATTTCCAAGGCCAGGGCCAACTCACCACAGCGGTTCTCGTCCTCTCCGCTGGGGCAGTGAGACACGCCGTCGCACCAGTGAGAGGGGCTGATGCAGGTGCCTGAGGAGCCACACTCCATCCCGGAGACTGAGCACTTGCTCTCCACTTGCAGAGAAAACAGGGGAGTTGCCTGTCAGAAGCCACCTCACTAAATTTTAGAGAAGGGGTCTCACTCTTTTGCCCATGCTGGGGTGTAGTGGTGCAATCATAGCTCATTGCAGCTTCAACCTCCGGGGATCAAGGGAACCCTCCCCCCACCTTCCTTTCTAATAAGGAGAAGATGTTTCCTTGCCATCCACATATATAAGCAGAATTAGGGCTGGAGTACATTATTGCTCTGGGGCCAGTGGGAAGGAAACTCTAGTATCTGGGTGTGGATGGCACCCCCACATCCTCTCTGCCACCCAGGTGACTTCAAATGGCCTACACTGTTCCAGGCCAATGGATAAGGTATGGGCTGTGGTTACAGGAGCTAGCACTGGGAGAGCCTCGCCTGAATCCTAGCAGCCACTGCTGTGCAATGAGATGCAGATGACCAGTTATGGCCTTAGGGTAGAGGAATCTGTGCTCGCTGTGCCAGGTAGCACTGAGCAGTATTCTAAATGCTTCTTTCATGGTGTGTCAATACTACAGAAACAGCAAGGGACTTTGACAACCCCCAGATCAGAAGGGAGCACAGGAGTGAGGCATCACAACCGGGACAAGAGATGGGCTACTTCCCATAGTGGCTATTCCTGCAGCAGTGTCACTAAACAAAGACAAGGGAGAGAAACTTCGGGGAGGGCTTCAGGAGGCCTCCCCGGTCCAGCACACAGGGTCGTGCCCAGTATATGGGACTGTAGGACACATGGCCAGGAGCAGGGTGGCTCCCTGCACTTACTGAACTTCCAGAGCAGGCCAGCGGCCAGCGCAGCTCCTGCAAGGACGGCTCCCAGGGCGAAGGTGATGCACAGTGCCTTCTTTGTCTCTGGAGGGAGGAGAGAAGTGTCACACTCAGGTCCCGGTTGTTTAGAAATCATGCTGTCAAGTGGTATCCACTATTTTTATGGTGTGCCATATTCAGAAAGGATTCTTTCTTTGGCACTTAAAAATGTTACTTAATTTTAAGAGAGTCTTTTTTTTTAGTTAGAATTTCACTCTGTTGCCCAGGCTGGAGTGCAGTGGCACCATTACAACTCACCACAGCCTTGACCTGCTAGGCTCAGGCGATCCTTCTGCCTCAGCCTTCCAAGTAGCTGGGAATGCAGTCATGCGCTACCAGCCCAGCCAATTTGAATTTATTTATTTATTTGTTGCCCAGGCTGGTCTCAAACCCCTGGGCTCAGGCAATCCTTTCCCTCCATCTTCCAAAGTGCTGGGATTACAGGTATAAATCTCCACATCTGACTAAAGAGGTCTTAAAACAGACAGATGATGAATGTCAAACATTGGTTAAAAGCGGAAAATGCCTTATCTTGGAAATTGCAAGCATAAGCAAAATACTAATAATGTCCCCAAAACTGTCATCACCCTGTCAGTGGTGTTCAAGGCAGAATGAATTGTCTCACCCAAGGCTGTGGAAAGAACAGATGCTATAAATAAGCCACATTTTCGCCTTCTGACAGCCACTAGCCATAGGTGGCATTTGCACTTACAGCTAGATGGAATTAAATAAAATGATGTAAATTCAAGTGCTCCAGAGTCACATGGGCAGTGGCTACTACACTGGGTGGTGCAACTACAGGACCTTCCTATCATGGCCCTGAGTCAGCACAGGCCTTTGGTCTAAGGCCAGAGACACTGGACTCAGGGTAAAGGAACATGTCGGAAAAAATAAAGGAATTTGGAAAAGGTCACTTATTTTCTCCTGTCAAACCAAACAGACACGCCATTGTTGGTCACAGCATAAGCCACGAGTTGCATCAGAGTTCAGAAGACAGCACCAGCCACCACAGAAGGCACTTCAGAGTCAGATATCCAGTCCAGCAACAGGGGGCTCAGCCCACTAACAGGCCAGGAGGGAAAGCACCCTCCCATCACCCAAGGCATTCCCAGGAACCCCTGGCCCAGGAGCTCCTGGGAACTTTCCCTAGAAGAAAGGTGAGGAGGTGGAGGAGGGTGGAGAGGAGACACTCAAACAGACCCTGCCAGGTTGGAGGGGTGGCCTGCTGGCCTGGTGCTCCCTACCTGGTCAGGCCTGTGCTTCCAAAAGCCAACCAGGGTGAGAAGCTTCTAGAGTTGGACAGACTGGGGCTGATCCATCAGCTGAGGCTCAAAGCCATGCCTCTTACTTTGTTACCACATTCAGATAACTCTACAATTGTTCTCAAGCTGTAACAGGTGGTAAGAGTGACCTGGGGGATGTGGTTCTCATCACCAGAGAGTTTGATTCACTTGGGGATTGGGCACAAATCTGCAGTTCTAACAGGCTCACGGGGTGAGGCCAATGCTCCTGGTCTGTGGACATGCCCAAGTACATAATTTGGCCACAGAGACCATGACTTAAGGTGGCAGGGTGAGCCAAGATAGCTTACAGAAAAATTCCAGCTAGCTTTTTGACCCATTAACAAGGACACTTTCTTCCTTAGGTGATTTCCCTGTGTGTTATTTTATCTAAGATAAAATAACTTGCCTGGTGAGTCGAGGGTTATTAAATTAGGTATCCTTAACCTGAGGGTGTGGCAGTCTGTCCAGCTCTCACTAGGAGCATGTACACAGTGGAGAGCCCTCTTGGGTGGACAGACATTTGTGACCAGTGTATGTTCAGTATAGATGTCATTTGGTCCTGGTTTGCCACAGCTGCTGTTGTAGAGCTTAATTACAACTTACTATTCGTTTACCTGAATCATAATCAATTTTGCGTGCTGCTGACTCAGCCCTAGTGTCTACTACTTGCATCACGGGACTGTTGACCTTTAATTCTCTGAGACCTAAACTTTAAGGTATGTATTTGTTCCCATCCAAACATAAAACTTCCACGGTTGTTGCTAAAGCAAATACATATATTAACCCCAGAAAGTTCCTTATACTCCTGATGGGGTGCTCCTGAGTTTGGAGTTTTTGCTCTCAAATAACTCGGGGAATAGTTTCAAAGCCAAACATGACACTTACAAAATGTATACTTTCCCTTATGTTATGTACCAATGCATGTTCTTAAAAAATAATAACATGGGCCAGGTGTGATGACTCACGCCTGTAATCCCAACCACTTTGGGAAGCCAAGGTGGGAGGATTGCTTGAGCCCAGGAGTTGGAGATGAGCCTGGGCAACATAGTGAGACCTCATCTCTACAAAAAGTAAAAAAAATTAGCCGGGTGTAGTGATACATGCTTCTAGTTCCAGCTAATCAGGAGGCTAAGGTGGAAGGATTGCCTGAGCCCAATAAGTTGTGGCTGCAGTGAGCCATGACAGTACCACTGCACTACCCTCTGAGCAACAGAGTGAGACTCTGATTCAAAGAAACAAATACCATAGTAAGTTCAATAAAATAAATAAATTATTTTTAGTTTATGGAGCACTGTTTTATAATGCAAAATCATATATGCAGGCTGATATTCTTCCCTTGTAAAGGCCATGGATAAGGGACTGTTAAACTCCTGCCAAGCTCTTCTCTCTCCTCAACTAGCTCTTTCCCTGGAGACATGGACATGTGTCCATGAGGTGAGCCAGGACTTCTTTTGCCCTCGTGTGTTTGGTGATCGTCAGTGGGAACACCACCGTTTGGAGGTGGTGGCCTCAAGAGAGGAACCCACACTGTCCTTTCTTTGGGAAGCAACTTACATAGCAGGGGTTTCTTAACCTTCTTCACCCTGGCTTCCTTCCATCCACCACAATGGACAAAAACCAGGGTTCCCACTCTCGGCACTACTGACATCTTGACTGAATAATTCCTTGTTGTGAGGCTGTCTTATGCGCTGTAGGAAACCGAGCAGCATCCTCAGTGCCCACCCAGGATATGCCAGCAGCACCTCTTCCCCCTGCAACAACCCAAACTGTCTCCAGACACTACCCAAGTGTCCCTGGGGTCAAAATTGCCCCAGTTTAGAACCACTGGCCTCAACCTACCCATCCACCACCAGAAAGACATCAGTGCAAAGATGAGTACTGCCTTGGCAGAGGAGTACTGGATGGTAGAGAGAAATGAGTAAGGGACAGGAGAAGGGACAATCAGGAAAGAAGGATCATGGAGGTAAAAAACACAGGGATGGAGAGAGAGAAGGAGGCAGGGGAGAAGGATACAAGAGCCATTTTTGAAGGGGGAGGGAGCAAGTGTTGAGGCAGAAACACAAGAGTGACATCACTTGTCGAGAGCAGGAGGCCAGACAGGGGCAGACAAGGCTTCACCAAAGACTGGTATTAATCGTGTTGATAACTGACTATGTGATCGTAGGCACATGGAAATACACTTTCTTATTAACCTTTAACTGTACAAATTGTATAGACTTGGGTGCATGTTTCACAAAATAAAAATACTATCAGTTAAAGAGACCATGAATGTAGCCAGTTCCACCTGGGCAATTTTTCTTTTTTTTTTTTTTAGAGACAAGGTCTTGCCCTGTCACCCAGGCTGGAGTGCATTGGTGCGATCATAGCTCACTGCCTCAAGCTCCTGGGCTCAAGCCATCCTCCCACATTACCTTCCTGAGCAGCTGGGACTACAGATGCCACCACACCTGGCTAATTTTTAAAATTTTTGTAGAGGCCTCCTGACTTCAAGTAATCCTCCTGCCTTGGCCTCCCAAAACACTGAGAATACAGATGCATGCAATGCCTGACTAATTTTTTTTAATTTTTTAGAGACAGGGTCTCACTATATTGCCCAGGTTGGTCTTGAACTCCTGGCTTCAAGCCTCCCAAAGCACTGAAATTACAGGTGTGAGCCACCCAATTCTTAGCACCGAACTTAGTCAGGAGGAGGTGCAAGAGAGAGGGGCCTAGACAGACATGAGACAGAATAAAATGACAAAGAAAGGAGATGAATGCAAGGGTGAGAAAGAGACAGAATTGAAGTGACAGCATAGGAAATTCAACCTTCAGCCCCACGCTGCTCTCTGTCTACAGGTTGGTCAAGCTAGGTGAGATGTCATAGAAACTTCGGTGCCACAACCACATGAGCTACGTCAGTCATTGAACACAAAATAACATAAAGCATCTTAACCATGAGCTGCTGCCTTCAGGGGACTGCATGACAAAGCAAGGCAAGATTATTTATTTCTGCCCTTGAGAGCTTACCATGTATTCAAGAGGACACACCAAGAAACCTGGGAGGCAAGGAACAGCACAGAGAAGCCCGTCGAAAGCCCCCACTGAACGAAACAGGCAGAGCTGTACAGGAGAGTTAACAGGAGATGAAGATCTTTGTAGAATGGAGCTCCCCACCCCCACCCTCTGCAAGGTGTGAGGAGGAAGCCAGACTCTGTGGCGACAGCTGTAACCCAGCAGGAAGAGAGGGGAAAGGCATGTGGAGACGGACTAGCAGAGATGGTGGGAGCAGGAGCCCACGGAAGGCCGACCCAGGAACTCCGGAAATAAACGCAAAGAGGTCCCTACTTGAGGAGCATCCCGTCCCCGACGGGCACTTGGGCTGTGTGTGGACGGCGGGAGTCGAAGCATGTGTCAGGACCCTCGGGGTGTACTGGGGCACTGGGGATGGGTAGAACTGAGCTGGATACACCCCGTAGGCACTGGGAGCCACGGCAGGCTGTGAGGGATAGAAGTTTTCTGGCTGGTATCCATGGTTTGCATAGTAAGGTCCAACACCAGGCGGTGACCCCTGAACAAATGAGAAGAAAACAAATAGTATAAAACTCTTACTCACTCTAAAGGGTTAAATATACAATATTATGTCACTTTCCCACAAGGCACTGAAAGAGGACCACAGATCCTCCTAAGGTGTCTATCCAAACATTGAACTTACCTAGAATAAAAAGGAACCAGAATTTTCAACTGTCAGGTTTTTTGTTTTGTTTACTACTTATTCTTTGAATTTTTAAAAAAGTGACTGACACTGCTAATATAATATAATTATTATATTACATGTTACATGCTAATATAATATAATAAATATAAGAATAATAATAATAAAGAAAACATTGTATAGAAGTCTGGGATTATAACCCATTATTAAGCCAACATCCTAAACCTTTTATTCCTCCAGTTCTCTCCTTGAGAATTGAGGTACAGAGTTATAAACTGCCAATACCAGAATTATAATGAAAATAGTAACAGCCAATGTTTGAGAATATACCAGCTACCCCAGGCCCCTGTATTCACAATCTCCTTGAAACCCAACCATGACTTTTCCTCCTCCCAGGACAGGTACAGGTCTAATTAATACAACCATTCTGCAGAGAAGAAACTGAGTTAAGAAATGTACCTGAAGGAACATACACTCCATGCCATTAGGCAAATTCCTTTTCTATGTACTACCCTCCTCTTACACAGAGGACATATCATCATGTGCTCATCATCTCTTACTAATGGACATTTAAGTGGTCTACAATGAGGGGCACATGCTTTTTTTTTTTTTTTTTAAAGCACATGCTTTTTTTTTAAAGTCAGAGCCTGACTCTGTCGCCCAGACTGGAGCGCAATGGCATGATCACAGCCACTGTGGCCTCAACCTGCTGGGCTCAGATATGATCCTTCCACCTCAGTCTTCCAAGTAGCTGGAACTACAGGTGTGCACCATCATACACAGCTTATTGTTTGGTCTTTTGTAGAGATGAGGTCAGTCAAGTTACCCAGGCTGGTCTTGAAACCCTGAGCTCAGGCAATCCTCTCGCCTCCACCTCCCAAAAGTGCTGGGATTACAGGTGTGAGCTACTGCATCTGGCTAGCACGTGCATTTTTTGTGCACAGGCTTGGGTACCTGTAGCTACGTCCCTTGGAGTGGAATTTCTGAGTCAGAGTGTGGATATGCATCAGTGTGAAAGGAACTGCCCAGACATAGCATTTTATTCTCAGTTCCATCCTTCAGCTGGTGCCTGTCTTCTTGGAATGCCCCTCGGCTTTCCCAAGACCCACCCTCTCAAAATCCACCTCCAACAAACCCTTGGTTCCCACCAGCCCACATCTTCCCCTTCTGTCAACTCTCCCCAATCACCTATTGGCTGGGCCATTCTGAGAGGCCATGTTTGTCCTCTTATCTATGTCTAAGAATCCCCTTGCAAAATATTTTCCCACTCATTAATTTCTGCCCCTTGTCTCTTGTGGACCTCTGAGAACGACAAAGAGGTTGTCCTCAAAGGACAGGTGTTCTGAACAGAGGCAACTTAGTCCTTAGAACTGTAGGTGGGGCTTCCAGAAAGTTGATTATAAAGGGGCGGGCCAAACACAAGCTCCCAGAGTTAACCTCTACTTAATAACTCACTAATACTATCCTTCATAAGTCCGAAGATTATAACTCGAAACCGGAGCAGCAGACAGAGGAAAAACACAACTTAATCTCTAATCTAAATGAGTGTTCCAGAGGCACCCAAGTCAGCACATGTGCCGGGCCTCAATCTACACCATCTAAGAACATGGCGTCCCCCTAGAAGGGCTGCAGCGAACAAGTCAGTTTGTCCCTGAGGATTCCTGTGCAGCGGATTTTAAATTAAAAACCATCAAATAAAAAAATAAATAACCGCAACAAATAAAGGAAAAAAAATAAACAAATGAAAGAATTCTGTATCTAATTTCCAGGTATAGAATTTAGGAAACTTTTAAAACTCTTTATTAAACACACTTGCTCCAGGTATAAGATGAATTGGTCAGATATGATGGGGAGCAGAGATAACAGCATTTGTCTCCCCAGGGGGTGGGCTCTGGGGAGAGGGACAGCTCCTCCCCACCAGTGCCTCATTCCATCATAACTTTCCACATTTTATCAGGAAGCCAGGCACCAAGGGTATCCCACAGAAATTTCTTCCTGGAGGAGTTCAAGGTGAGAACGAATACCACCCACTTCTTCCCAAAAGCAATGGCTTTCAAGACTTTTCTGTACACCTTGACTCAGTCTTTCTAGAGGGGTCTTGACCAACATCAGCACAGTCCATATACGCCCTTCAAGTAGGCTTTGCAAATGCTGGCCAACACACACTGCAGGGAATAACAGAACAAATAAGCCAACAAAGAAGAAACCAGCAAGGTAATAATTAACCACTTACTGAGTTTAAAGCCATTCTGATTTTATCAATAGCATCGAGTAATGGTAGGTATTTGGAATGTTCAAGATGACCTAGAAGAAAGAATGGCAAGACTGTAATATTTACATATCAGTTAGTTTTTAGAAGATAAAACTGGAAAGCACTAGAAGACTCTCTAGGTGAAGGTTACTTCTCACCAGAACAAACAGCAATGTTCCCCACTGACCTGTGGCCTGCACCTTCACTGTTTTCTCCCCACACACCGGCCCCCCACTCATACCTTGAGGTCACATCTGAAGCTCTTTTGCCTGGAATCCAGAGTGAGTGGAAGGATGGGTTGCAATTCTAAGTACTGGGAGGAGAGCCTGACCCGGAAGAAGGGACAGACTCAATGACTCAGACATCCATCAGAAGGGCTCCCAGGGGAGTTCCCGGGGTCCACTGCCACCCAAGGTTCCACTGCTGTTAAGCTCAGGGGTCCTCCTCCACTTCACAACTCTCACCCGAAGACTGTGATTTCCCCCTTATGATGCATAATATACCAAACAAAGACCCCATGGGATAAATACACACAAGAACCACCACAAGGTAACTAGCCCATGAAGTTCAGCAGAAGTTAAAGCCTCACCCAGCAAGTGAAAACCTGGGCCAACTCCTGATGATGTCATTGGGCAAGTTACTGAAACTTGCTGAAATCTCAGGGTCCTCAACTGAAAATGGACAGGGTCATCCGCACTGTTCTGCTGAGGATTCAACAAGAGGAGACAAAGGAGGGACCTCACAGTGCCAGACACTGAGGAACAGCAGGAGTGACCAGACTCCCTCCTGCAGAACACCCACAGGCATGTGCGTGTTGCCAGCCACCCTGAGAGGGTGGTCTGGAGCTCAACATCAGATATAGAAATTTGACTTTTTAATGTAAGCCATATGAGATCTCCCGATGTTTGATAAATATGATGGGGAACAAACAAAAAAAACAGAATTTATTTATTAAAAATTGTGTATCTAAGCCGGGCTCAGTGACTCAACCTGTAATCCCACGCTTTGGGAGGCTGAGGTGAGTGGATTGCTTGAGCCCTCAGGTTTGAAACCCGCCTGGGCAACTTGTCGAGACCTCATCTCTACAATAAGTAAAAAAAATTAGCCGGACGTGGTAATGTGCGCCTGTAGTTCCAGCTACTTGGAAGGCTGAGGCGGAAGGATTGCCGGAGCCCAGCAGGTCGAGGCTGCAGTGGCCGGGAGTATGCCACTGCACTCCAGTCTGGACAACGGAGTGGGACTCCAACTCAAAAAAAAAAAAACAAAAACGAAAAACAAAAAAAACCCCAAAAAACAAAATTGTGTATTTATTGTTACATGTTTAAATTTCAATCACCTTCAAAATATCCTCCATTGGATGCAATACACCTATTGAGATGCTTTTTTCACTGCTCAAAACAGTTTTTGAGCTTATCCATTTGGATGCCTTTTAGTGCTTATGCTGTTTAATTTTTTGTTTTACCTCTTCCACACTGGCAAAACATTTCCCTTTAAGGATATTTTCATGAGGGGAAGGAAGGAGTCACTTGGGGCAAGATCAGCTGGATAGGGAGGGTAGGGCACAGGGGTCCTGCCATTTTTGGTCAAAAATTGCTGAACACTCAGCATGGTGTGGGCAGGTTTGCTGTCATGGTGGAAGAGCCAGTCACCTAATTGCCACAACTCAGGAGGTTTCTTCCACAACGCAGTCTCTCACAACAATGCTAGCTGGTACACTGATGCCAATGAGTTCCTAGAACACTTACTTAGCAGAGGAAGCCTATACTACAAGGAGCTGGCCCTCCAAAAGATAATTCCAGGTTTTTTTTATTTTTGGATCCCCCCCTTGTATGCCAAAAAAAAAAAAAATTCCATGAAACATATTCACATCCAAACCCATAAGTAAATTCAGAGCTAACCATTTTGACCATTTCTAAGATTAGTGGTAATGAAAAGAAAGTTGTGAGCAGTTTTGTTTGCAGCTATCTGTGAACAGTTAACAATAATCTCTAGAGATACTGTTAGCACGAAACACTTAATAGTATAGCCTAGTTCTTTTTTTTTTTTTTTTTGGCGTTGGAATCTTACTCTATCACCCAAGCTGGAGTGCATGCTCATGGCGACTGCAGCCTTGACCTGCTACTCTCAGGTGATCTTTCCGCCTCAGCCTTCCAGGTAGTTAGAACAGGTGCATGCCACCAAGCCTGGCTAATTTTTTTATTTATTGTAGAGATGAGGTCTCACTATGTTGTCCACGCTGGTCTTAAACTCCTGAGCTCAGGCAATCCTCTTGCTTTGGCCTCCCAAAGTGTGGGATTGCAGGCATGAGCCACCACCATCCCTGGCCAATAGTAGAGCCTCATTCTGATATCACTCTCCAAAGACAAAGATTCTTTGCTTGGTCAAAATATAGTGAGGTTCCTGAAACTTCCAGGCCATCTGTGCACTTCCTTCTAGAATCCAGTTTCAGCAAAGAACCCTGTTTAGTCAGTTTAGCAAAACCTCCCACCCCTGATGTTTGATCACTCCAGATACCTGACAAGGTTCCTCATCTTCCACCATCCCCCAGCGATGTCTGATCACCCAGCCTGACTTCAGCAAGAATCCTGCTAGGTCAGTTTAGCCAGAATGCCCCTTACCCTCAATGTTATTTCTAAGTGATTTTTCCACCCACCAACCTCACCTGCTCCTTGGTTATAGATTAATTCCTACTTGCTCATGCTGTGAGCAGAGCAGAGCCTAATCTCTCTCCCCACTGCAAAATGCCACAGCATCCATCCCTACACCTACTGTGACGGTCCTGGATAAAATCTGCCTTAGGTCTTTAAAAAGGGTCATTGAATGGTTGTTTATTTAACATGCCCCCTCATGAGTTTTTTCATCCTGGTTTGAAGTGACCAAGAAATATTTTGAGAAATGGTCTTTAACTGGGTGTGGTGGCTCACGCCTGTAATCCCAGCACTTTGGGAGTCCAAGGTGAGAGATTCGCTTGAGGTCAGGAATTTGAGAAATGGTCTTCGAGATTATCCTTCCAAAAGACCATGATCCCAATGAGGGAAATAGAACCTAGAGAAGGCTCTGGGATTGAAGCTGGCCAGACTAGGGTCTGCTGCCTGTGATTCATGCCCACAGAAGGATATTTTCCATCTGTAAGAGCCAGCACAAAGTAGGTGCTCAAGGAATAGCACGCAGCACAGTGCAGTTGTTAAGTCCCCAACCTCTGGGACCAAACTCTTTAGATTCAAACTCAGGCTCAGTCACTCACTAGCTGTGAACAAGTTAATGTTCTGTGTCTCAGTGTCCTCATCTGCAAATGTAGGTAATAGCAGCATCTACTACAGTGTTGTAGGGACATTAAACTAATTAATACTGATGAAGCACATGGTGGCTCATGCATATAATCCCAGCATTTTGGGAAACCAAGATGGAAGGATTACTTGAGCCCGGGAGTTGATACCAGACTGGGCAATATAGCGAGACTTTGTCTATGTAAAAAAAAAGAATTAGCCTGATGTGGTATTGTGTGCCTGTAGTCTCAGTTGCTTGGAGGTCTGAACCTGGAGGATCACTCGAATCCAGGAGGCCAAGGCTGCAATGAGCCATGATTGTGCCACTGCTCTCCAGTCTGGGCAACAGAGTGAAACCTCAACTCAAAAATAAATAAAAAAATAAAAATAGCCAGGCTCGGTGGCTCAGCCTGTAATCCTGCGCCTTTGGGAGGCTGAGGTGAGTGGATTGCCTGAGCCCCTGGGTTCAAGACCCGCCAGGGCAGCGAGACCTCATCTCTACAATAAATAAAAAAATCAGCCGGACGTGGTAGCGCACGCCTGTAATTCCGGCTACTCGGAAGGCTGAGGCGAAAGGATCGCCGGAGCCCAGCAGGCGAGGCTGTGGTGGCCGGGAGCGGCCACTGCACTCCAGTCTGGGTGACAGAGTGAGACTCCAACTCAAAAAAAATAAAAATAAATGAGTTAATAATAAAGTACTTAGTGCCTGATGTACAAGTTCTACACAAATTCTCATTAAATAAAAGTAATTATCAGTCTGCTAAATGTTTAGCAAGCCACCGAATCTGGCATTTGCAGATTTGCTTTTGTTAAGAATTCCCAGGCTACCAACAGGAAGCCCAGCAGCTTTCAAAGTTCAACGGAGTAACCACTGTTTTCCTATCTCCTAAGCAAAATTGGTACTTGAATCATGAAACCAGAATAGCCCCAAAGACCTGCAATGGCTAAAAACAAGTATGGCTTTTTAAATCTTGGGAAACCTCACTGAACAGGTTACAATAAAAATCACCAGATCATTTATGTACTCTTCATATATAGATAAAATATAAGAACCAGGTCATGTTGATAGCCTTGAGGGTTTTTTTAAGATTAAAAATAAAGTCCACGCCTTTCTGGGTATGAGGAAAGGAAGCTGACTAATGTACAGGTGGGAAGGATCACCGTTTAAAATACATCCAGAACGTTTAAGCCTATGAACTGGGTGTGATTGTCCCATATTAACATACCTTGCCTATGTCTACTTTGTGAAGAGAATATTCTAAGGCTTGACATCAGCACAGTAAATCCTGCACTTTTGTCTCATAAGCAGGAAAAACTCGGCACCGTCCTAAGATTACTTTCAAAAGAGTCCCTCCTAACCCAACACATTCTCACTCCTCTGGTTTCTCAGCTCTGCTATCTCACCAGTTATAGGTTTGGTTGAAGTTTCAGGAAATGAACATTTGATCCCACTGGCGGCTTTCCCAGCTCAGGAACCCTCTGAAAGGAATGATGAATCAATGCTCAAAATCCACTATTCATTCAAGATCCCTAACAGTGAGAGACAAGGAAGCCAGGGAAGGAAGGAACACCAAGATTGTCAAATAAAAGCCATAGGACCCAGAGGCAATCGCAGGATAATCCTATCTCATTCAGTGATCCCACGGCCCACAGAACATGAGAGCCAAAAACATTAAGTGTGCCCAGATCAGCTACCTTGAACTTTGGAACAGAAGACGAGTTGTGCTGCCTATAATGTTCTCCAGCTGAAAAGAAAGGATGGGTACACAGGGTGGGGGTACTCTGCC